ATTGAAAAAAAAAAACAGAGTCGAAGTCGAAGTCAAAGCCACAAGAAGAAGAAAAAGAAGAAGAAGGGGAGAGAGAGAGTGTGAGATCAAAAGACCAGAAGAGGTTGAAGCAAAAAAAAAATGGCCTAGTCGAAGAGGTCGAATAGACCAAAAGACCAGAAGAGGTCAACCAGACGACTAGAAGAGGAGGAGAAGAAGAAGAAGAAGAAGAAGAAGATGGCGAAGCATACCCTACGAAGTCGAAGTCGAAGTCGAATCGAGCAGCCCAGTCGAAGTCGAAGTCGAAGTCCAAGGCGAGGCGAGAGAGGAAAAACGACATAGATTAGGGTTCATTTTAGTCGTATTTGGTTATGTTGTACATGAGTTGTAATCCTCTGTGGTTAAGAGCCATTCGAACACACCTCCGTAGCCGTTAGATCAGATCTAGCTGCTAATAAATTAGGCGCGCCTAGTCGTGCACCTTGCGCCTCTGTCGCCTGGCTCAAGTCGCGGCTAAGGCGCGAGCCTACCTTAAGTCGCCTCGCCTGGGACCTGTATAGGTGCGAACAGTGCGCCGCGCCGCGCCTCGCCTCGCCTCGCCTCGCCTGGCGCCTAGACGTGCTTTTCACAACATTGAAAGTGACAATCAATTTCAATGTGTTTCATCCATTCATGGAAGACAATATTGTGGACAATCTGAATAGCACTGCGGTTGTCACAATAGAGGGAGATCGGAGAAGACTGAGGTACACCTAAATTAGAGAGGACACCGAAGCCAAACAAGCTCAGCAGTAGCATGAGACATAACACAGTACTCAGCTTCTGCAATAAAGCGAGCAACAACAGTTTGTTTCTTGCTTTTCCAAGAGATCAAGGAATCACCAAGAAATATACAGAAACCAGAGGTGGACTTGCGATCAGTAACATCACCAACCCAATCAGAATCAACATAGGCCACCAAGTCTAAAGAGGAAGTAGATGACAACAGCAAGTCTTGAAAGATGATACCCCGGAGATAGTGAAGAATGCGAACTAAAGCAGCCTAATGGGTAGAGTGAGGAGCATAAACGAACTGACTAATCACATGAACAACATAAACAAAATCGTGACAGTCAAATAAACTAAGCAACAGCTGATTAAAAAAAAAAAAAAACTAAGCAACCCACCAGCTCGTGATAGATCGTGGGATCATCCAGAGGGACACCATCAGTAGAGTTAAACTTCACATTAAGCTCAATAGGTGTATCAAAAACCTTAGTATCAATAAGACCGGCATGGTGAATAACTTCATTAGCATACTTGGCTTGAGACAGAAAATAGCCCTTTGGAGAAGAGGCAACCTCAATACCAAGAAAATACCGCAATGGACGCAAATCCTTCATCTCGAAGGTGCGGAAGAGATGTTGCTTGATCTCAGAGATAACAGAAGAGTCAGAGTCAGTGACGATCATATCATTCACATAGAGTAGAAGGGCAACAAAACCAGTTGAGGTATATCTCAGAAACAAAGCAGAGTCGGAAGCAGAAGGATGAAACCTAAGCTCGGTAACGACAATCTGAAAGCGATCATACGAAGCACGAGGAGACTGCTTCAAACCATACAGAACACGCCAGAGACGACAAACTTGCCCAGAGGAGTGGAGAAGACCAGGGGGAGGACGCATGTAGGCCTCCTTAGTGAGATAACCATTAAGCATTCTTAACGTCCATCTAATAGAGAGGCCAATGTCGAACAACAGCAACAGAAATTAAGGTACGGACAATAGTCATCTTGACAACAGGGGCAAATGTCTCATCATAATCAATACTATATACTCCTATGAGAAATCCTTGGCAACCAAAGCGAGCTTTGTAACGCTTGAGAGAGCCATCAGAATGAGTCTTGACTTTATAGACCCATTTGCAACCAACCAGATTCTTGCCAGCAAGTAAAGGAACCAACTCCCAAGTGTTAGTTTTCTGCAAGGCAAACAACTCATCCTTTATAGCTTGAACCCAATTAGGATCCTAACAGGCCTCCGTGTAAGATTGTGGTTCTGAAAAAGAATGAATAACAGACCAAAAAATACAATAGGAAGCAGAGAAACATGTATTAGACCAACCCAACCTGTTTGGAGGACAACGGTCACGAGTAGGATATCGATGTGCAGCAGGATCAGAGTCATCAGAAGTAGAAGGAGCAATAATAGAAGTAGAGATAACTGGTGGTGGGGGAGCCCGACGACGAGAATAGACCAACAACGGAGGGGAAGAAGAAGCTGAAGAATGAGAAGGAGCTATGGGTGACGCAGGCGGAGAAGTAGGAAGTGGAGATGTACTCATCAGACAAGACCTCAGAAGGAAATGGGTCAATGTGAATTAAATCTTCTTTGGAAACGGGAGCAGTGAGAGGGGGAAGCTGAAAGTAAGACAGATGTTCGAGAAAGGCAACATGACCGGAGACATAAAGGCGACGAGAGACAGGGTCATAACAACGGTAGCCTTTCTAAGTAGGACTATAACCTAAAAAGACACAGAGGAGAGACCCGGTACTAAGTTTGGTCCTATCTTTGCGGGGAAGAAGGACAAAACAGGCAAACCCAAACACACAAAGAAGGGAGTAGTTAGGAATTTGGGAAAACAAAGCCTCATAAGGAAACCGACCATAAAGAATGAGAGTAGGCATGTAGTTGAGAAAAAAAAAAACAGCAGTAAGAACTGTCTCCCCCCAGAATGGAGCCAGAACTGAGGCAGATAGAAGAAGAGACCTAGCTGTCTCAAGAAGATGACGGTGTTTACGCTTGGCTCGACTATTTTGGGCAGGTGTATCTGTACAGGAAGTTTGGTGAATGGTACCTAAATTTGCCAACTACTCACATAACTCATTTTTTAAATATTCCCCACCCAAGTCAGACCATAATACTTTAATTGTAGATCCAAACTGAGTAGTAATCATAAACTGGAAGGTACGGTAGATCTGATAGAAATCGGACTTATGAGTCATAAGATAAACCTAAGTGTAACAAGTGCAGTCATCAACAAATAACACATAGTATGTAGAGCCCCCTTTGGTGAGAACAAGAGAAGGGCCCCAAACATCACTATGAACTAAAGAAAACGGTGTATCAGACATAGAAATAGTTTTACGGAAAGGTAAGACTGTCATTTTGGCAAGTTTACACCCCCGACATTCAGTAAGTTCACTAGGAGAAACTTTACCTAATATACTTGATTGAGCTAAAGACCGTAAACGGTCAATAGACAAATGTCCTAATCTCGAATGCCACAAGTAGAAAGGATTGGACAGAGAATCTAACTAAAAAGAGGAAAAAACAGTTGGAGAAGTTGTTATATGTAGATGCAAGCTCTCTACCACATAGAGGTTTCCAACTCTGCGGCCAATTCCAATCTGCTGCTTGGACATTCGATCATGCACAGAACAGATAGAAGAAGAAAAGATAACATCAAAATCGGAGGCTTCGAGCTAACTAATAGATAATAAACTGATAGATAACTAAAGAACATAAAGAACAGATGGAATAGAGACAGTAGGTATAGCAGACGGTAAGATAGACCCAACATATATAATAGACATACTAGATCCATTAGCAGCATTAACAGTAATAGGTAAGGGAGGGGGAATACAATTTTAAAGTAAGGAGAGATGAGGAGTCATATGATAAGAAGCACCCGAGTCAAAAAGCTAAACAGACGAAGAGATATCTGAAGAAGACCCAAGCAAACCTGAATGAACAGAGGAAACAACCGAAGCAGACGAGGAGGGTTGGGAGGTAGACAGTATATACTGAAGTTGACTAATCTGAGCCCTCAAGGAAGCCAAGTCAAGATCAGGAGTCGAAACAGATGTAGTGGTACTGATGGAGGGACGAAAAGTACTCAAAGGAGGAGCTCAGGATTGGGTTTGAGACTGTTGAGAAGACGTGGCAGGCAGATGTCCTTTCTTGGGACAGTGGTACTTCCAATGGCCCCTCTGATGGCAGAAAGCACACTCATCAGAAGGCAGGGACATCATAATAATCAGAAAATTGGGGGGTTTATGTGTAATAAATCAAGAACTGATGAGTCAAAACGTAATAATTCCAAACAATCACCAAATCACCGCAATATAATACACACACTTGTACTAATGTGGTCAAAGTATAATAAGGACAAAACCTGGTGGACTAAGATCAGAGAACTAATACGAAGAGATAGAGCTTTGTGATCAGAGACCAGAGACGAAGAGAGAGAGAACTTCGTCCATACCAACAACGAAACTGAGAACTTCGAACACCAGAGATTGAGACTGATCACGAACCAGAAAATCAGAGAGTCAGAGACTTGTGATCACGATCAAGCCTAGAGAGAGGGAGTCGCGATCAAAATCCAAACCAGAAAAAGAGATGTCAGCTTCAGGCGAGTTCGACGAACCAAAAATCCCACATACGCAGTTCAATTATGAACCACGTAAGTCGATGATGCTGAATAGATGAACCAGAACTTCGAACCACACGGAACAAGGGAGAGAACTCAATCAAGAAGAATAATTCTTGAATCAAGCAGCTAGGGTTACGAACTCGGCTCTAATATCATGTAAGATTTCTAAAAGTTTTTTGTGTATTCAATTTAAGTATGTTTACAAAAAGTGCATCAGTTATATAGCCCTAATCTATGATAGAAAAAGGAAATACAAAGAAAAGGAAATTGCCTAATTCGTAGTATACACAAGGAAATTGCCTAATTCCTAATATACCATATATACAATATATCTTCTCACATTGGTTTGAATAGGTTGAGTCCAAATGTGTCATTTGTTGGTTTTGTGTTTATGAAGTAGGAGGTTTGTTGTGTAGTTTTTGGTAAACTAAGAAATTTGTTGTGCTTTTCTTATGTTTATAGCTTATTTCTGTTTTGGGTTGATCTCGTGAATCATTCACTGCTTATTGTTTGTTTTGTTATGTGGATTGAAATAGTTTTTTTTTATAGTAGGAGTATGTGAGTGAGTGAGTGATACAAGGTCTCTTTTTGATTGATTTTTACAGGTGCAGGCAGTGTTGTTACTATTGGGGGGATATGAAGTGCCCACTGGCATTCCAACTGTTGGGGTGGCCCCCCAAAATCAGAGGGTACTCATATAATCATGCTGTTGCTCTTGTGAAGGTGTTGGTTTGAGCTTGTTTTCACTATTCTATCTGCAATTTTAGGGTTTAGCTGATTTTCCTGGAAGATCGAGTCAACCACAAAGGGCTGCTTCTTTGAATCGGTTCAGGGAGAAGAGAAAAGAACGATGTTTTGACAAGAAAATTCGTTATAATGTTCGTAAAGAAGTTGCACTAAGGTATTGTGTAGGATACTTTACAATTGTTCTCATGCTTATAGGCTTCATGGTTCTCTTCTTCTTGTTCATGGTCCTTTTTGTTGATTGAGACTTTTTTTGAGCGGATATAGTAATCTTATGAAAGGCGGTCAATGTTGTTGGATGATTCTTTATGCTTCTATTCACATTTAAACCCTTTTCTTGATTATGTAAAATTTCAAAATTGTCTCTTCTTTTTTTAATTGATTTTTTAGGGTAGAAAATGATGATTCCGGACAATCTAGGCTTACTAGGTTCTGGGCAAGGATAGACTTGGGGGGTTTGCAAGTAGGGGCGATCAACGCCCTTACGATTTCAAAACCTCCCCCTACTACACTAATATTAGCTTTTATTATCTTCAAACTATATAGGCTATCCCCCTTTAGGTTTTTTAAAAAGTTTAAATGGTTGCCTCCTCTATATTGATGTGTACACAAGCTTGTTAATTAATACATAATCAAATATGTTCTTCATTTTGTTTTTTATATGAGGGCCTTGAAAACATTGTCGCATTGAGCCCAATAATATAATATAAAGGAGAACATGTACATAGTTGGACCATGAGACATTTGGTGGTCCAACTCAATTATAAATTTAAAAAATAAAAATAAAAAAAACCACAATTTCGTCTCATGTAAAATAAAAAATAAGCTCTATCTCACTATGTCTTAGCTTGATAATAGTGAGATACAAAAGAGAATGGGCCACACCACATTGAATCCATATGTTAAATGGACTCAAATAAGGACATAGGGACATGCCAAAATATTCATGTTTCTTAGTGCACTTTTTTTTTCTATGGTAAAATGGTTTTCACAAAGTGTCATCATAGAACATTTCATGCATAGTATGAGAGTATTATGCATAGTTTTATGGTTAACTCAAATTATTAATTATGTTTGCTTGGTGAAGGTGTAACTACACTTGTCAGACAAATTTCTCATATCCTTGCCCATGTGTCGATTGTTTGACGTGGGTATTTTCATACATTTAGAAAGTCCATGCAACATTGTTGAATCCAATAAAAACTTCGACCAAAAATTCTTTAGATTTAAGAGAAGAATGTATGTTTGATACTTGTATGAAATGTCACTACTCTCCCCACATATTGCAATGTAGTGTGAAATTTTCTGTATCTGAAACTTGTGAAAACATTGTTTTAAAGATTTTGTTGGACTTAAAGTTAAGAAATGCATTTTCATTGAACATTCATCTAGACTAGGGCTATGAAACCCGAGTCTTTGACCTCTCATGAAACATTGCTAAGTGAAAATTGTGAAATGTTAAATCCTAAAATAGTTGGCCTTAATATGTAATGAGGCCAAGGAACACGAAATCTGAGAAATGATAAAAGAAGATGATGATATCAATAACTTGTTAAAATTGTTCTGGTTTGCCCTTCCAAAGCTTGCAAAGTAGGTTTGCTCTATGCCATACAGACTTGGACAGAAGTTCTTGCATTCCATCTTTTCCTTGTTTTTATCTCAGCTTTTTCATTTCAGAGAATGATTGCCATTCTGGCCATCTTCTGATTTTCTTTGTCAATCTGTCAGGATGCAGCGCAGAAAGGGTCAGTTTACCTCATCCAAGACAATTTCAGATGAAGTGGGTGCTTCTTCAGATTGGAATGCATCACAAGGTTCTGGACAAGAGGAGCAGGAAACTTTGTGAGTCTCACATTGATTTAATTTTATATTATTTTTCTCCTTTTGGAGGCATCTCATAGGTATCTTCCCTTTTTTTTCATCCTTGGGGATACAACTTCTTAAGGCATGATCACTAGTATTGAGCACCTGCCATGTGGTAAGTCTTTTTCCATGTCTATATAGCCCAGTTTTTGTGAGTCATTTGCCATGTCTGCCAATATGATCTCATCAAGGTATGCATAACTAGGCCCATGTTGTACCTTTGGATTCGATGTTTGGGTTTTGGACCTAGTTCAGTTGTATCTGCTGAAAGAGAGAGGAGCGAGCTGGATAGGGGGACACTATAATGGACACATGTCCATGTATTAGCTACCATTTTTTGTTCTTAGAATATGTGGTGGCATTGTCTAGCAATAACCTCATCACTCAAGAAAAAAAAGGTTTCTTTTCTCTTCTCTCTGTAGTCTCTGCACATGATAGTGTTAGAACTGCATACTTTCTCCTTCTCTCTCCTTGCTCCATTTCCATTGCCGACCACTCTTTCTGTGACCCGTCTTGCATGACATTCGTGATCCTGGTATTAACAGATACTTGACCAATACCTAAGCAATTACTGTCTTAGGATTACCTAAGGGTGTGCAGTAATTATTAGTAAGGTAAAGTTTCCTGGGATTCTTCTTTGGAGACAAAGTTTAACTATTTATATGCACATGTAACGGAGATTTCTGGCGAAGATTTTGGTGAATAAAATTCAGAATTGAGTATCTATGTCATTTTATAGCAGGGCTTGGTTTTAGCTCCATAGCTCGTGGAACTCTTACCACTTTTAGCAGAAAATTACAGAAATCTGTTTCAAAATCAGATTTTGCAACTTCCTATCTTGGTCTGAAAGTTTATTTGGGTCCACATGAATTGTAGCCGTTGGAGTCAAACTGCCAGGCTACATCGATCTACTTTAAGTTTTTTTTAACAATAATGATCCATGTTGAAAACAATAGTATTTTCCAGTTGTTTCACCTGTTAAAATCCTTGTTTAATTCTCTGTACAGATGTACACATTGTGGTATTAGCTCAAAGTCTACTCCGATGATGCGTCGTGGGCCAGCTGGTCCGAGGACATTGTGCAATGCATGTGGACTCAAATGGGCCAACAAGGTTAGTACACTAATGAAGCAATTCCTCATTCAGTTTTAATCCTTTTGCACATTTAAAGCTCCTTATACTTGTGGCATGTGGGGCATGACTTTTTTGTAATTGTCTTTACACTGTGTTATCATATCTACGGCCTCTTTGAAGATATTAATTTGTGGTGATACTCTTCCTTCATCTTTTAGGGCCAATTTATTAGGAGCATTGTATCTTGGAATTCGGACACAATTTGCTCTTTCTATTTTGGTATTGGGTCCACGATGCTAGGTTTAGGTTGCAGTCAGATATTGTTGTGTGGTTCATGCATGAAGGTTCGGTTAGAGTGAGTTGTGCATCTTGTATTCCTCTTATATTGTTGCCCACTTGTCCTTGCCCTATAGTTTCCATGCTTAAGAATGTGATGTGGTTAGTGGCACTCAACTTTTTGGAGTACTTGGATCACCAAAAACTCAATGGGGAATGCTTGTTTACAAGTTATCAGGCTAAACTTTGAATGGCATCACTTCGATTTTGAGAAGTTTACATATTGTTATGAAAGCTCTCAAGGTGATGAACAACATTGACAGTCTTTTTTAGAAGAGCTTACCTTCTTTCGACTCTAAATCTTTTTGGGTTATTTTGAATAAATTTGTTATTGTTGAGTGTTTTTCCGTTGCTTGTATTTCCTCATTTTGTTGGAATTTGAAGTCTGCTATTATAAATAGGGTTGTGTGGTCAACTTTCATTTTTATGATAGTTGAATTGGTGAATGGACGTGTCTTCCAAAAATTCTCTGTTTTTATTGGTTTCCTTGACCCTTTGTTTAGTGATATTATCAAAGGCATGAAGTTGCTTCTCAATATGTAACTGGTGCTCCAATGGTTTCTTCTTTTCTATTTCCATACTCTCATGCACTATTACTTGATTTCCTCCTCATATCAAGCTGTGAGGTATCTGATACGTCCTTACTATTGCAAACCATTTCCCAAAACCTACTAAATGGAAGATTTTGAAATTTGTCAGAAGCTGGTGCTTCTTTCAACCATCTCATTCATGAATCTTGAGTTTTGCAGGGAGTTTTAAGAGACCTCTCGAAGGTTTCAGCTGCAGGAATCCAGGACCCTACTGTAAAGGCTGCTGAACAAGTACGCACCTTGTAAAAACTTTTTAATCCTCATATTAGAATTTATGTAGGATGTTTTTGATTTCTTCCAATTTTTCTTTTCTCATGGGTATTTGTTACAGAGTGAGGGTGAAGCTAATGACTCAGATGTTGTAACCTCTGCGGCTGACATCATTAATTCTTCTAATGGCGAGAACTCGGCTGTGCCTGCCGAACGGTAAGTTACTTACCTTGTAGTCAATGCCATGCCGGCAGCTGTTAAATGAATGCAAAATAAATGGGAATTTTCTGTATTAACTAAAGAATTTTTATACTGTTACGTATAATTTAGTTCTTTGATTGACACGAGATTATATCATAACATCATTTGTTTTTTTTAAAAAATCATTTATAGGTATGGAGCCTGATTGGGAAATTTTACGTTATTTCAGCACTTGCCGAACTAATCTGCCTCAGTAAAGATGAAGTTATCTTGCCATATACTTGCATTTTGCATATGAATATCTCGTCTGTTTGTAGACCGAATCTTGGTGTATCTAGGGAAGTAAGAGAAAGTGGAAGGTATTAACTGGAATTTTCTTAGTCCTGCTTCACCTCCGGTCAAATCATCGACTTGATATTTGATCTAAAAGAATATCGGGAACTGGATGTCGATATAATCAAAGCCCTTGTGCATTATGGAGACCCAGGCTGGTCTCATGAAGAGGAATAATGTGGAAACCTCCTCTGCGAAGAGATGTAATGTTAGGACCATTAAGGTGACTATTTTTTTCCCTCTTTCTTTCCCTATTTTTGTTTTATAAAAGAGTCTTATGTTTCATGGGGCAGCAGGTGGCTGGAGGGAATGTGTTTCGGGGATGGTGGGTGTGCATTATGCTTGGAAACATTATTATTGTAAGAAAAAACGTGCTTGTTGACAATTTTTATGTAAACAAAAAGTAATTGATTTCTAAGCCTCTAAAGGAGTTGATTATTTCTTGAGAGAGGTATTATGCAACAGGTGGGGCAATAGATCTTCTTGACAAGTGCTAGGATATACTCCAATTTCTAAAATAACAACTTTAATAATTTCGTCTGTTCTCTATACCCTTAATAATTTCAAAACTGTTCTCATCTCTAGCCTTGCCACCTTTCTACATCCACCCCTCTTTTTCATTACATCCACTACCAGAGAGTGGAAGGGGGTTAGAGAGAGGTAGGGGGATGCAGGCTTGAGGTGACTGGAGGGTGAGGATGGGAGCAGTTGGTGGTGGTTAGTGAGGAAAAGGGTGCGGCAATGGTGAGCAAAGGAGTGACAGTTGGAAGTGGCACTGCTGGGCGTGCTAAGGAGGATGGAAGAGAGCCAAGGTGATCGTGGATGGGGTGGGCTGTAGTGCCCATGATTGATCAGAACAACATTCCAGTTTTTCTAGTTGGTATTTGTATTGTGTGGCACACTATGGAGCATTCATTTCACCCAGATGAAAGACAAGACAGAAGAAAAAAATAAAGAATATATGGCTGCTTCAGAATCTGCTTTTACATAACAATGGCAGAAAGAATCATAAAACACAATTTTATCATTCAGTACACACTACACAATTACAGAGCTTCCCAAAACAAATCACTCTATACAGACCAGCTCATCTTATTACTTTACAATCCAGTAACCAAGCGCTTAATAGTTGGAAAACAAAAACCCAACACTACCAACAAGTTGATGAATCTCAAGAGTTATAAAAATTTGTGTTTCCATATAGAACGAAATCAACTGCTCCTGTTTTACCTTTTTGGAGCTTTATAAAACAAAATAATGCATAACTAACTATATTTTAAAATAATAATAATAGTAGGGCAACAGTTAACATCTACCTCTCTTAGGAACAAAAAAGACACCGATTCTGACCCGGAATGTGGGTCTCAAGATATCTTGCAAGAATGTAGGAACACGAATAACAAAGTAAACATATTGCCTTGGTAAACTTGGTCCCCACGCATTTTTCCAAATGGTTTATGGATCAACTACGGGGTATCCTAGAAAGGAATTGCGTCCACTTCCATTGGAATCTGCATTACCATAAAAAGGTGATTGTAGCTCCCCAGAGTGAGATGATTTACGAGACTTTGGGTTTTTTGGAGAAGCTGTGTAGGAGTCGGTTGAACCACTGCTTGTTGAATACATTGACGCTGTTGGTAGACCGTGGATCTTTGGCAAGCCTGTTGGATCATTACTCAGGCTGTAACCCCTCTCAACTGTCTCAGCTTCTAGTGGCAGTTCATCCAATGTCTACAAAGAAGACACGAGGACCAAAACAACATGATTCTCGGATGCTGTAAACTTTGTAATAGGTAGCCGTTTATAAAATTTGAAAAGTATATACGACTGAGATTTCATATATACACATTTAATAAGAGTGAATGTTCTTGAGTTGAGTAGATGGACCAATAAAAAATATGAAATCCATCTAAATTCAAATGGCATTAAGTTTATTACGATATTGATTTATCCCAAGTTATATGGAATAAAGCTTAAAGTTTTCTATTATGGCTAAACTATTTGACAACATAAATGTTGTAAGTTAAAAATTTACACGTAAATGGTCATTTTGGATGATTCAGAAAACAAAATATAAGTTTTAAGAATGAAATTTTTTTTGAGTAAATTTAATTTGAAGATATACTAACGAATTGAAGTGCTATATCTTTTGTGTTATTTTGATCTACTTTGCATTTTACATGTATTAGGTATTGATGCATATCTTCAATTCTAGGGACCTTACTTTTGTAATGTTAATAATACATTGTTTAATATTTGTTCTCGCAAGATATTTGTATTTTTTTATAAATAAATTTATTTTTCTACCTATTTTTAAAGATGTAAAACAAAATTAGAATTACCTTACATATTACAATATGCTAAACAATTAAGAAAAATAGAATAAATGATAAATGAATTGTATCCCAATTTGACAACTATGCTTAAGAGTCTTCTAAAAATGCAAGGAATAAAAGGGAACCCACCCGAAAAGCTTGTTGAAGAACACGTAGTGTCTCTCGGGTGCGCTTTCTCTTCATTGCCACCTCATCAGGTTCCTGCAACATCTCCTCAAACAGGTTGTCTCTGTTCCAGACCATAAGATAAACACATAAGCCAAACAATATCTAGTGGAATGTTACCCAAAAGACGAATCATTTCGGTGCAAATAAAGGAAAGGGGAACGTGGTACACCACATTCTGTAAAATGTGGTATGATAGGTGCAGAATCTAGCAAAAGCACCATAGTTGAGCTGAGTAAGTCAAATCATTATTAGGAAAAGTATTTTAAAGGTCAAAGTAAAGAGCAAATAATTATCTCCAAGCACTTGCTGCCTTCATGCCGTATTACCTGTAAAGCTTTTTAATGAAGACATTGTGCAACTCTCTTTTGGTGTGGTTTACCTGGCAATGAATAAAAAGGTTGAGAGTTATCAGAATTCATGGAATGCTTAAAATATGATGTTCAGATGTTCCTCATACTGAAAAGACAAAAAGCATGGCAAGAATGTTATTGTTATTATACAACTGTAACTCGAGCAGAGAAAATCTTCATACGTTAAAGAATGGAAGAATAGCACAGGGCAGCTATAAATTCTAAAATTGATATGTTTTTGTATGTTTTAATAAACAAAAGAATGTTACATGCAATACATAGCTGCATCCCATCAACAATATGTGAATCCACATTGAATCTAACAGTGTCAGGGGGATCAAAAACTGCAGATTCATACAAAGCCATTGAACCATCCCAACCAGCACCAGAGTTGTATGCTAGATAAAATAAAATCTACGTAGAAGTCCACTCAGATGAAGCAGTTGAAAACCATTCAAGCAAAAAATGATAACTTGAAGGCACCAAAAGCATAAGATAAGGCAAGTTACAAGTTGACAAAGAATGGGGAGGGACATAAACAATTATCACAGGTTCAGGGTTGACAGTTTCCCTATCAAACTGACTACGTTTGCAATTTTCTAATTGTTCACAATTTTTTTTTTTTTTCCTGATAAATTCAAATTGTTCACAATTTGATCAATCCAACTGTTCAATTGTTTCACATCATGTAACTTGTGTAACTGAATATATGAATGATATGATTTTAATAAAATAAATGACATTTTCATTTTTAACATTTATGTTTTTATTTATTTAACATATGTAACTTGCAAGTTTGAAACACAACACAACACCATATAAGTAACAATATAGATAATAGTAAAGTGTTATTATGAACACATGAAATCATTAACTGTTGAAAGAAAATATGTAAATCATTCTTTATAGAGACTTAAAAATAGTACAAGTTTAGTAATATTATGGATCATGTTTAAAAAATAAGTTCAAAATCCTAAACCCCCAATAAATGTGATTCTAAAATAAAATGTGAATTGCTAAGTTTTAGTGAAGTTTGTGATTCTAAACTCTCAGCCAATCCTATTACAAGGTCAATTACAACTGCTGACCCACCGCAATACCATACATCATAGTCTGTCAGTCAAGGGCAGTCAGAAATCCTATTTACCCATTATGCATACTCCCCTGAAATTAGCACACATATTAAATGTTAAAACCAAATGGGGAAAATATTCAAAAAAAAAAAAAAAGAGATGGAAAAAATGGTAAAAAGTACGCAAGTGGCAAGACCATCAATAGATAACAATTACCAGGAAGTGCATAATTGCTTTTGGAATAGCATCCTCAACATTCTTTCTAACAATGTCATAATATGATCCCAACAACAGTTTTGTAACTGTTATTTCAATAGCCTCCTGATCTGAATGGGTTTCTGATGGTCTCAAGACAGTTGGAGGCTTTAAGAATACAAAGAGAAATTTGTTACAATCATATAGACATAAAAGATCATGGCTCAATAATCAAACCAACTGAGGAGTCTAAAGATAAGACCTTTTGCTCATACCTCTCTCAAATGGATCATGGAGAAGGCATGCTCCATGCTCTGAACAGGTTCACTAATAAATGACTTGTGTGTTGAGTTCTCTTTGATAGACATGCGTCTATCAGAACCACCAAAAATAGATGAAATCCCCCAACTCGAACCAGTTGCATTAGCTTATTAATCACAAAGCATACCAAATCAGGCTATTTTCATAGCAATAATACTGCTAGTCACTTCTAACAAATTACTGGTTACGAATAGATATTAAACATAGAAGAAAAAGAGGTAATAAAAAAAGAATACAGCCTTCTTGCAAACAATCACTGAGGAATAAATTATAAGCAGAACTTAAATCCCAGCTCATATCAGTAATCCATACAGAATTAGATAATATCTAAATTTCTTTTCTAAGTAACATTTTACCGGATGATGTGGTTTTCTCAACATCTGCAACAGGCCGAGCTCCCTGCCACACACAACAGAATCATCATAATAAGAATAATCAGATAATCTGAATAAATTCAATCACACAAAAGCTTGAAATTCTCTTAGACTAGCAGTGATTGAAACCAAACAAGAGATGTAATATGCAGCAAGTTGTTTGACAAAATGTAGTGCCAATGGACGCAAGCAATAAACAACTTCACTACCTGCTCAGGGACAATTCCATTTACTGATCTACCAAGAATAGCACGAGATTTAAGACTTCTTTCAGATGTTGGTGCCTTTTCCAGATCCACATCCTAACAGACAAAATGCACCCAATTTAGATTAGTAGGAAGAAGATGAAGCAATTCAAACAGCAGGTGCAGCTGCAGCATTTACAAAACTTACAGTTATCAACAGCACCTTATACACATACCTTTGGCCTAGGAATGGGTGCAGCTACCCTACTGGACTTGATCTGATGCAATGCTTCTTCGACAGCTTTACTTCCACCAATAAATTTTGGATGTGAAGTGTTTATATAGTCCATCTAGAATGCAGAATTAGATAAATTGCAGTGGTATACAGATTGTGATCATTCTAGAAAAATATGGAAATGTGCATTTACAAATTCATTAACATTGAGAATTTTAAGATTTAGAAACACATGTACAGAGGATGAGTTTAAATATTTAGATGCATGGTCACAACCCTGACACAGCAAACACAGTTAAAACTAGGCTATTAAGCCAACAACTCTGGCATGCAAATGACCATGCACATTCGAATTCCAAACACATGAGGAAACAAGCATCAAAAGGATAAACACCATCAATCAGCCCCAAGTTTACACATGTAGGAAGAGACAACAACCCTAACAATTGTCAGGAAAGGCCAATCACTGCATATAAGATATTTTTAGTGGTCTTAACAGACAAGACAATAATATTTAGGTTCTAATGCCAATCCATGTGTGATAGGTTCTAAGACACATCTCATTTGTTGCAGGTGCAATCATTAAAATTTTGAAATGTCTGCTGGACATGCATTTGAACTACACTTAAAAAGGCAATAACTAGCAGGCAGTCAGCAACTAAGATGAGAATAAAAACAGAAGAAATAATATGAAAGATGTCACAATTAAGAAATCTAGGAGCATCCTGTCGACATCTATAAAACTTCAGTGAATCTTACTATGAGAAGATTCAAAAAAGTCAATCTTTCAAGAACAAAATTGGAAGCCTGGAAAGATCAGTATTAGGTAGTAGCAATAAAATTAAGGCATTGGAAATGCTATAATGGTCATGCAGAACTTCTGCAATTGACCATAATTTGTTAGAATAAGGAATTGTAAATTGACTCATCAGAATGCATATCAAACTTCTAAGAAATTATTTTTCAGATCTGTTACTATTCTAACAAGGATCCAAAGAGTAGATCCCAAAATTTGTTTTGTCAAGACCTTGTATCTTAATCTTGCTCAAGCAATATGCATCAGGAGCCAGCTGGAATAGATTTGAAAACCACATTTTTTTTTTTTAAACCCCAAATTCAGCATACCTCCATTTCAATAATGTGGCCAATCATTGTCTCTGAGGGTTCAAGGCCTTCTCGCAAAAAGTTCCCTATAACCTCATCCATGCGCTTTCTCAGAACAGGAAACCGCTGTAGTTCATTAACCATACAGCGATGGCTCATCTAAAATAGAATCAATAAATCAGTGCCTTTGTGCAGGTAACACACTCCATAAACCACAAAAATAGACATTGAGAATTTCCTTGCCTTAATTAACTCATCATAGATAAACCTAGCACATTGAAGGCTTGGGTCTAACAAACGAACTATTTGTCTTCGAACAAGAACTTCAAATGGAACCTGCAAATTAGGATTAAACTAAGATAATGAAAGTTATAGTCACAAGAAGAAAAATAAAAATCAAACAACTTCCTGAATGAAAAACATAAAAATAAGACCCACCTCTGGTACAAATAATGCAGATTTAGGACCAGTTGCATTCTGAATGGCAGTTCGGATGTCATCATCAGTCAAGTCCTCACATGGATCCACCTCCTGCAACACAGATAAAATCTTCTCAAATTTGATGGACTAATAGCAGCTTAAAGCTCAGCTTTGCGCCTCAGTTATCAATACAACACTGATCACAATCACACATAAGAAGCCAACTGGCTGATCCACAATTTTTTTTGGATCAAAGTGGCAAAGGACTTCTAAAAGCACACTCCGACTTGCTATTGCAAAAGATAAGTTTTACGATGGATGGACGAACCGACCTTTAAACTACGTTCCATTCAATAGCTACAAAGACGGAGAGAAAAAAAGAGACAAGGCAGAGTAAATCTCACAACCATGCAACTATAGAATGGTAGTGAAATATTTCCTCACAGTTCCCCTTCAACCAGTTACTAAATTAAACATTCCCATATAAGATACAAAGTCAGGTCTCTAGGGACAGCACCGGAAAAACAATGCACGAAGTAGAAAGAATGGTTGAGAAATATTTCCTCACAGTTCCCCCTTCAACAAGTTACTAAATTAAGCATGATATAAGACACAAAGTCAGGTCTCTACGGACCGCAGCACCAGAAAAAAAAACAACGAACAAAGTAGAAAGAAAGGATGAAACTTTTTGCAATTTTATTTGATTAAGAAAAGGTGGCACAATATGAAAATACTTGATAAGAATAAAGAACCTGCAATCTAGAATGTCAAAAGACATGCCAAATCACAATTAATGTCAAGAACACACACCTCCAAACTCTTCACAAATATTGACTGGAAGATATAATGGATCCGCGCACCACCAGACAGCTCAGATGTTGACATTTCTTCATTTTTCCCTTCTATCATTGAAGAGAATGCTGTTTCCAACAACGAATTGATGATGCATCAATAAGGCTCCAGCACTGACAATGCATAAGGATTATATGAAGAACATAGACATTTGTGGCCCCAAAAGACAGCTAAGTAGGTGGAGCCACATTTACTTTACCTTCAGAGTACTTCGATAGAATGTTTAGAAGAAGAGCTCCCTGACCAGCCTATTTATTTTTTAAAAAACATGAAAAAAGAAAAATAGTAGTAAGCACAAAAATAGTATAAAAAGTTTCATTCTGAATGGCCAATTTTACATAAAGTATGGTTATTTTGCAAATACATTGAAGTGTAATTGGACAGAAGTTATCAACACTGTGAGATATGTTAATAACCTGAACCAAAAAAAAACAGAAGTTATCAACACTGTGAGATATGTTAATAACCTGAACCAAAAAAAAAGAGTTCTACCTCATAATGGACTGTTTCACATAATTACATTAAAAAAAACTGACTCCTACCCAGTTACTAGTATATACTAAGGTGGTGTTTGGGAAGTTTGTGTGTTGGGTTTTTTTTTTGATTTTTTACACTAAAAGACAAACTTTTTGCAAAACCAAAAAAAACAAATCCAAACAAAATATCACATCTAACCCCATAATCATTTTACTTTTTCTCTCACAAACATCACATCCAACCACAAAAAAACACAACTATCTTCCCAAACACCAAAATTTTTTTATCCAATAATATATTACAACTAAAAAAACCTACATAAAAACCCACTTCCCAAACTCCCACTAAATTGGCTAGGAGGCAGTTTTGAATGTAATTATGAGAGAGAGAGAGAGAGAGAGAGAGAGAGAGAGAGAGAGAGTATTGGGCACTGAATGACCACAGAAGTAAAAATCGCAAACATCTATTAGTCCACTGTTTTGCCTGCGCACATGGAAAAGTCTACCCACGACCTACTTCATTGCACTAGAATTAGATGTTTATAGAAAAATGCACAGCCATGACTAGGATTAATTTACCAATGAATTAATCAATTTATTTTTTTATCAGGAACAAAGAAAATTATATGAATCAATTATCTCAATCATAATCTAGAAGAGTTTGTGAACTGGAGCAATGGCAAGTGCTAACCACTCCCAAGGATAGAGAAAGGGTTCAAGTCACAGAAATTACCCTCTCCACAAAAAGTGGTGGAAAGGCATCCTACCAAGCACCTCTCTCCCATACCTTGCTTACACTCTATATGACCTCAACTATATTCTAGCAAATTTTATCAACGTAGGATATGCCTTGGTACATAGAACAAAACCAATGGTCATGCTAAAAACAATTTAGCAATGGTGTCAAAGAATAAAGAAGTAGATGATGCCTTTGATTCAGTGATTTCTCCATAGCTAGCATGCTCCTTCGCAACAGAAACCAGTGCAGCACTGATGCGAGACTTCAACCCTGGAAGTATTGTCTTGATGTGTTGTACCAGAATCTGCATAAGACATGCACACGCTTATATGAAACCAATGGCCTTCTCAATTTACTTAACAGTTAAAGAGTTAAATTATCTTTAATAACAGTCACAGATCGTTATAAGAGGCATAAAAAAATAAATTAAAAAAAAAACATGTATGCACTGTCTGAGATTGATTGTGTTTGCATAATGAGAGAGAGAGAGAGAGAGCAAACAGAAGACCAATGTGTGTGTGTATGCGCCTATGTTCGAAAAGACAGCAAGAAAAATGCATTATTAGAATGTGTGTGTGCGCGCGCGCGCATATGTTCGACTCTGTCAACTGAAGTACCTGGTTCAACTTCTTTGCCAACTGGGGGACGCCACAGCGATCCACAAGATCACTATACACCTAAGTAACAGAAAAAGATACAGATAAATGCAGTTTAATAATAAATACTAGGTCAACCTGCAAACAATAGTTGAATAATAGTATGGGCATACTGGACGACTGCGAAAGAACTTCTCCTCAGCCACAAGTGCATCCTTAATACTCCGGTTGAGCATAATATCCTGTTTAATGATGATAACAATAAAACAGATCAGAAACAAACTTATCCCTACGGAGTCAAACTCAAGACATCTACAACCGATGTGGTAATACTGCCAACCAGATGCTACTAAACCACATGAGTATTGGCAAGGTCAATTAAAGTAAGGATGCATGAAAAAACCAAAAACTAATACCCTTATATATATATATATATCAAAATTAAATTAACTTAGCCTTTCCTCATCTATAATTACAAAGCAGAAGCTCATAATAAAATTTGCAAATTTTTCTATTGCTTTTAAGTTAAAGGATTACCTCCTGACTACGATTTACAACGCCTACATAACCAAGCCGAAGAGGAATTACTTTTCCAAGCAAAAAATTGCGAGCATCTGTACCTCTGTCCATAATATCCAACTAAAGCAACCAAAAAAATGATAACTCACATCAGAATTAAAAACATCTATCGTAAATTACAAAGACTATTTATGTGGATGAAAAGTTCATGTTCATTTGTTTGCACCTTTGTGATTATACCAATGGTTCGATAACCTGCCAACAGAAATTATCATGCATAAGTAATAGAGTTATATAGTGAACCAAATCCTGCTATAATAAGGCCTCGTTTGGGAACAGGCTAATTTAGTAACTTTTTGGCTATTTAGCTAAAATATGAGTTTAAAAAAACTAATATGTTTGGGATGATTTTTTGGCTTTTTACGAAAAGATGTGCAAAAAGTAGAGAGAAAAGAGAGTCTTTGACTTTTTTGTATGGGTTGTTGGCTTTTTGGCTAATTTAGTAACTTTTTGACTTTTTGGCTAAAAATGAGGGTTCCCAAACGAGGCCTAAGTATTCAGTTTATTCAGCGTAATTGATCTAGAAAAGCAGAGATATAGGTAGAAGACTCACCATCAGGGTCGGCATTTCCAGCTATCTGGAGAGCATCTGAATTTGCTAAGTCAGAATTTGCTGGTGTAACAGCTAATATCAAACAGCTTGGGAGTTTAATATATGACATTATCATTGTTCTAATCCTTGCTTCAATATCAGAAGGCTGGTCACCAACAGGAACCTTTGTAATACCAGGCAAATCCACCAGTGTGATATCGAGAACATTTGGTGAAAAAATCTTCAAACGAATCTGCTTGTCAGAAACACCTTTGTTTCCTCCTGCTTCCCTATCAGTCTCAGCCTAAAGTCAACACGAAAATAATTATGAGGTATGTCTGTGTGTGTGTGTGTGTTGCGCACCGAATAATAATTTTTTTTTCTAATAACAAGTTTTTTGTCACTTGAGCTCGGATAAACCAACAGAAAGCTTCAAAATAATCGTAAATCACAGTAATTGAATTAAGAAAAGATGTTGGATTACTATTGCCAGAAAAGTAGATTTACTTCCATGACATTAAAAGTTTGAACAAATACGTGCTACATCAAAATATGTGTGTGCACAGAATATCAGAGATTATATGCACGCCATTCTTATTGTATTCTTTTGCCCCTTACTCTAACTTTACGATTCAGCATTTGCAAAACTCACAACAAATGACCTTTTGCATATTTTCTAATTGAACTTTTTTGAAAAACAAACCCAGCCTCACCCCCACCTTACATTAAATTCCTGATAACACATTATTAGACCAACTTTAATTCAAAAAATGTAATTTGCATTAAATTCTTGTACATTGAATATAAACATTCTAAACAATATATATATATATATATATATGCATAAACACTTCATCTAGACATTGCAATCAATCACAGTAATAAAATGTAAAACAGCATAGTTCTTTTCCCAAGTTTCCTTTGCTGTCAATTGCCCAATCTTTACCTCTACAAGAAACCACAATTTGTAAGCCAATCTTGAAACTTACAATCCATATCAGTCATGTAATAATCATCACTACTTTCTCAGTAACCAAACACAAAGCAAGCACAGTAGTAAATGAAATCAAAGAATACCTGGATTTCCCTCCGAATTTCATTGAAATCGTAGAACCTCTTGGAAGGCAAGTGCAAGAACTCCCCGTACTCCTCCTCAGAGCCATCGGGCTTCCGCTTGGTCTGCAACAACTGAAGCACAAGCGGGCGGCGAGTACAGATATCGGAACCCCTGGGGAGGAAATCGCGGCCGACAAGAGCTTCGAGGACGCTGGATTTGCCGCTGCTTTGGCTGCCGACGACGGCGACCTGAGGGAGCTCGATCGTGGATTGGCTACCGAGCTGAGCAAAGATGTCTTGAAGCTTGTTGACGATTGGGATCACAGAGTGGCCCAGAGGAGCAGCATTTGAAGAAGATAGAGGTTCGTCGGCCATGGATGAATGAAATCAAGATCGATGTGTAGTTGGAATTGGAGTTGCTGTTGCTGAGATGGGCGAACAAACCCTAGAGACCGGAGTTGTGCAACTGTGGATGAGAGAGAAAGAGAGGTTTAAATTTTTAGAGTGAGAGAGACAGAGTCCTGGGGTGTGGGGTGGCGCTTCTCGACCGCCCAAGCAGGAGACACGGGAGATTTTTCGATCGGAGTGGTGTGGTTCAACTTTCAATTTTCAATTTTAATTTTTGTAAGGGGGTTTATGCTGAATTGAGCTTGGGGTGTGGAGCGAATTAACCTACGCACCCTTTCCAAACGGCAATCGCCATCAATAAAGGCTTTAGAAAGCATTCAATCTAGTTTAAAAAAGTTTAAAAATTATAATTTATATTAAAAGGTTAAAAAAATTATTTTTTCTCTATTTTTTATATGTTTTTTCGTAAAAAATTAAAAAATCATTTCAAACATACTATTTCATATTTTAGTTAAAAAATTAAAAATTATTAAAATAATCTATTCCCAAATGAAACCTTATTATTAGTTTAAATTATATGATTCATTACATTTATGGTAGAGTTATAGAAGAGAACTGATTAGAGGAGTTGGCTCTTTCAATAATTTTATTTTATTTTTTTTATAATATTTTATGAGTTGAACAAAATTATGTGTTTGAAAATTATTTTTTAAAATTATACAAGAGAAATTGAATAACCCATTTGGGAGGGTCCAAAATAGCCAGCAAGATTACAAATTATCAAATTAATTAATTTTTCATGCATCTTTTTTTTTTCTTCTTTTTTTTTTTGTAAAAAATCACACAAATTATTAAAAAAATAAATTAAAAGCACCAATGTGTTTGACTTGTTTTGTTATTAGCTTTTTTATTTTTTTGAATCTTCTTGTAGTCCAAGGTCCCGTTTGGTAGAGCTGTGGAAAAGTGATTATATCCCTGTTTGGTAGGGCTTATTTTCAACTTTTAGCTTAATTTAAGCTATTTTGATGTGTTTGGTTCAGCTTAACAATACAGCTTATAACTTTTTGTAAGTCAAAAATCAACTTATTCTTTGAGTGGGGGAGGAGAAGCTTAATTTAAAAGTTAAAAATTAGTTTATGTTTACAGTTATAAGCTGTTAGGCTATAAGTTATAGGCCCCGTTTGGTAGACCTGTAGGAAATTGATTATAACTTATAACTTAATAGCTTATGGCTTATAACTGTGAACATAAGCTGATTTTAGAATTATAAATTAAGCTTCTCCTCCCCTACTCAAAGAATAAGTTGATTTTTGACTTACAAAAAACTATAAGCTGTATTGTTAAGTTGAACCAAACACATCAAAATAGCTTAAATTAAGTTAAAATCTGAAATAAGCTGGAAATAAGCCCTATTAAACAGGGTCATAATCACTTTCCCACAGCTCTACCAAACGGGGCCTATAGCTTATACCTTAACAGCTTATAGCTTATAACTGTGAACATAAGCTGATTTTTGACTTATAAATTAAGCTTCTCCTCCCCCACTCAAAGAATAAGTTAATTTTTAACTTACAAAAAGTTATAAGCTGTATTGTAAAGTTGAACCAAACACATCAAAATAACTTAAATTAAGTTAAAAGCTAAAATAAGCTGAAAATAAGCTCTACCAAACAGGGCCTAAATCAAGTTCTAAATGAGACCCAAATTAATTTAGGAAGTGGAAATTAGGTGCTCCTTGGATTGTGAGCATAATTAGGGAAAGTTACTAATATTACGAGATAATCAATAATGTTACATATGTGTTTGATATGTACTAAAAAAATGGGGAAATCAGTTTAAGGTCTCTATCCAACTTTTAGTAATGGATTAGGTCCACAATGTGTTCTTTTGTAGCCTAAGGTCCCTCAATGTTATTTTAGAGTGTAAAATACCTGTCTTACCCTTGTTTATAATATACGTTGCTTTCAATTTGGCAGCTAAAGATCATATTGATATTTTGTGGGAGATTACGTGAGGATGAACTTGACGATTCAGATTTTTGTGGAGATTTTCTAGGGTTTTTGTAGGTGTTGAAATCCTGTTCGTTGTTTGTAGGTGTTGAAATCCTGTACGAGTTGAAATCATGTTCGTTGTTTGTAGGTGTTGATCGATCGTGTAGGAGTTGAAATCTGGTTCATTGTGCTTGATTTGATTTCATGTAGAGTTGAATTAGATAAGTTTTCAATTTTTGATTTGATTTGATCGTGTAGGTGTTGAATTAGGTTTTTGTTTTTAGTTTTTATCAATGTGAGAGAGACGAACTCAGTGTTGTTGTTTTTGATTTTTGAAGTTAATTTTTCATTATCAGTTATTGATGAATTTTCGATGGAGTTGATTTTGATTTTTGGAGTTGCTTTTTCATTCTCTGTCAACATGGTTATGAGTTGCTTTTTGGTGCTCTGTTTTTCTGCGTTTTTGTGCTCTGTTTTTTGTTCACTTTGCATTTTTTGTGTAGTGCAGAGAAAATTGCAAGTTTGTTACTATAATTGAACTCAAATCACAGAGAAAATTGTAAGCTTGTAGTGTAGTGAAAATCACAGAGAAAATTGTAAGTAGGCAGAGAAATTTACAGACGTAGCAATAGAGTAGTAAGTGTTTTGTTTTTTTTTTTTAAATTTTTTGAATTGAATGTTTTATGAACATAACAGATCATCTTTGTGATTTTTTTATGTGCTTGTGTTTAACATATTTTTGTCTCTTGATGTTAATGTATTTTTGTTTTTGTTATATTGAAAGTGAATATAAGTTCACAAATTTCTCTGGACTTTTCTTTGTAGTCCAGAGAAAATCATATGATTGTATCACAAATGATAAGTATTACAAATTTCTCTGGACTTATATGTTGTGTTTTTATGTGTTTTTATATGTTTGCACTTTTCAAAATTTTCTGATATGTTTTCTTTGCACTTTTCATTTTTTTTTTTTGCACTATTCATGTTTCTGGACTTTTCTTTGTAGTATAGAGAAAATCGTAGGTTTGTTATTATAATCCAATGAAAATGACAGAGAAAATGTTAAGCTTGTAGTTGAGTGAAAATCACCCTTGAAGTTGGTGTCTTGATCTTGATGCTTATTGCTTCTTCAACTTGGACTTGTTTTTTTTGTGGTGTTCTGGTGCTGCTACTGCGTTTTGATCTGAGATCATAAAACGCAGACACAGAGACTTTTGGTTTCTTTTTCGGGGTTTCTGGGGTTGTGCTATTTCTGCGCTTTGCCATTTCTATAGAATGAAAACATAAACATTAAATCCCAGAGAAAATTACAAGGTAGCAATGATTACACAACAGAGAAAATTACAAGGTAGCAACATAAACATGACAGAGAAAATTACACAACAGAGAAATTTTGAGGAAATGGAGCATTGAACAAAATAAATATGCCAGAGAAAATTAGACACAAGACATAAACATAATGTGGCTAGAGAAAATTATAAATGCTGCCAGAGAAAATTAGACACACAAGTAAGAAAAGTAATTTGGCCAGAGAAAATTATAAATGCCAGAGAAAATTAGCCACACCAATAGAGTAGTAAGCCACAGATAATTTGCTTGAGAAAATAATGAAGAAACATAAACATGCTAGATAAAATTACACAATAGAGAAACACAAATGTAGCAAGCCAGAGAAATTTACAAAAACAAGAACACAAGAAGCTTCAATAAGAAGCCCGAAATGTACAAAAAGCAGTTCAATTTTGGCAGTTGGAAGGAAAGCAACCCATCATCAGTTGGAAGCAAAGAAATTCTGGACTTCCAAGGAATTTCTCTAGATTCAACCCAGAGAAAATTCAAATTTCTCTGGTCCAGAATTTCTCTGGAACGATAAAACTCTGATTTGATCAATTTGTCATTGGTTTTGCTGCTGTTGATTCAATCACAATTTTCTGCACAAACAAATTAATAGTTCTTCTATGAGTTTGTGATAGATTTTCTTTAAACTTAATGGTATGAATTTCTCTGGGTTGAATCCAGAGAAAATTCAAATTTCTCTAGATCACTTTAAGCCTTCCTCTACTGCTGCCTCTTCCTCAAGCTTCTTTTTCCAATATTCTTCAAGTAGGGGTCCAAATATTGCTTTTCCAGAAACAACTCCAATTCTACTAAACCCAAAAATCAAAAGACGTTATATTCAATACTCAGAGAAATTTTGAACCTGAAGATGTTATATTCAACACTGGATATATATATATATATATATGTGTGTGTGCTGACATTGTATATATATATGTATATATCATATATATATATATATATGTTTGCAACCATAGATAAGATAACAAAGAGTGACTGTTTGATTATGGTTGCAAATGGTCTTAATTGATTAGTTATCATATATATACTAGTCAAGACAGTAAGCAACAGATTGTATATATATAAAACCCCTAAAAAAATATACTTATATATATATATACATATATATATATATTTATTTAGGTTACATTAATTAATTTTATCAACATTTATTAACATACTTTTCTATTTTTTTACCCATTTTCTTTTTTTTTTTTCTATATATTTTTTATAAATAATTAAAAATTACAATTATTTAGAACATTCCAAACATCTAATAATGTGATAAGTAAGGATAAAATGTTTCCAATCTATCCCGACCCTGCATCCCCTCCCTCCAATTTGGTTTGGGGTATATTAAGGTCAAGTTTGGCATATTGCAAAAAAGCTAAAAAGTCAAAAAGTTATTCAAAAAGTTAAAAAGTTAACACTATTCACCAAAAGTTAACAATTACGCTTCAATGCCTAACATTTTTTGGAAGCTAAGGCAGGCGAGTTGGTTCCCTACAAATCAATTTTTACAATTTTTTATTACATATTTTTCCATAAAAAGTCAAAAGTTAACCCAAACATCCATATTTTTTTCCTCAATTTTTTAGTCTAAAAAGACAAAAGTGCACTTATTTAGAACACCCCAAACAACCCTTAAATAATACAAAAAGTCAAAAAGTCACTATCCTATTTAAGTCACATTATCTTATTTAAATCACAATACCTCTTTAACACATCACATCAAACTCAACCCATATAAACTAATAAATCAAAAAATATACGTTTTTAGAACATTCCAAACCAACCCTAAAAGGCGGAGCGGGGGAGGATTTTCATTGCTTTTTGACCATTTCAATTATGCTTATCATATTATATATATATATATATATATATATACTCCCTCCGTCCCAAAATAATGGTCTCTTTTGGGGA